CGGTTCGTTAATAAGATAATCGGAGCGTGCTCTGCTGTATAGCTGCAAAGCCAGGGCCATGTATATGTGGCGGCTATCTTTCCAGCTGTTATAAAGTGCTCGTTAACCCAGCCTCATACAACTTCTTTCTCGGAGATCAGTATCTAGTTCAAGATTCATAGCTGCTTCGTGAACGGGTCACTTAGAACACACTCGGGTAAAACATAAGAAAACATGTCAGCTCTACCCACAACGATCACTTTCCCTCCCTCATATTGTTTTCTTAAATGCTCCATCCAATTGCGCTCACTCGTTTTCGTGACGTCAGAAACTTTTCAAGAGTTTCATATAGATGCAGGCACACCTTGGTTTTCGGGTTTTAGGTCGCAAACTTTACTGCCCTGGTAAATTTGTTCACGGATTCTGATATCGCAACTCTGCCAAACATTTTTTATGTATAGTAACGGCAAACCTTTAATTGACTCGCACCATGCGCAGTATTTACACCAGCTGAGAAAAGCGTATTTGTGGTTTAAGTGAAAACAATCTATAGACGAATGTATTACATTGGTACGGGTGCACGTGTAATGTGATCATGTGGGTGGAGCTCGAATTTTGTTCTGGTGTTATAACTCATTAGCATAACACAAACCATTTCAGCGAGTATATAAGAAAAACTTACCCGAGTGTCGATAGCGAGCCTGTTCGTGTTCTTCTCGGGCTAGCGGCACTGCGATGCCTTGCAATCGATTGCGCACTGCGGCCAGCATCTGAGACGCTTCACTGCACTGATCGAAATGTTTTACTGCTGCTTTTTCGCGTAAAGTCACCGGGAACAAAGTGCAATTGTACGCGGAAGTTCTTCTCGTCAGCGGCAAAGCTCACCGTGATGATGTGGGCTTATGATACAGGTGGCAAGTTCATTTTTCAATCCACTTATCTCGTTTTTCAACTAGGAATGATTAATGATATCTTGGGTTTTACGTCCCAAACCACGATATGGATGCCCTAGAGGAGGGCTCCGGAAGTTTCTGATCACATGGCGTTCTTTAACGTGCCCTGACATATCCCACAGTTCGCGAACCTTATTCGCCTCCATCGAAATTAACGCGGCAGGTAGAGAAGCCGCGACCTTCATATAAGCAGCCGAGCAACTTAACCGCTTCACCTTTGCGGCGGACAGTTTTTTTTTTTTTTAATGAGGAATAATACAACAAAGCAGGCGTGGCGACATACATGTATGTCGCGTTCATTTTGTATTTTGTTCAAAGTATTTTGGAACTCGACATGTCCACAATACCGGATTGATGTGACCGGTTCGCCCCGCCGCGGTGGTCTAGTGGCTAAGGTACTCGGCTGCTGACCCGCAGGTCGCGGGTTCGAATCCCGGCTGCGGCGGCTGCATTTCCGATGGAGGCGGAAATGTTGTAGGCCCGTGTGCTCAGATTTGGGTGCACGTTAAAGAACCCCAGGTGGTCAAAATTTCCGGAGCCCTCCACTACGGCGTCTCTCATAATCATATGGTGGTTTTGGGACGTTAAACCCCACATATCAATCAATGTGACCGGTTCACGCCGTGTTTCTAAATCGGGATTTAAATGATGTTAATAAGGACGAGAGAAAGACTGTTCTTCCCTAATTGAACGAACCCTTTCTTCGTCTATACGAAATGGAGTTCTTGAAGGAGTACTCTACCGATTACTCCGTTCCTCCGAGGAACCCTTCGAAAGACGAGCCTCGCCGACCGCGCGCTGCAACCACCCAACGCTATTCCGCATTCAATTTACCGCGCGTGTAATTCGCCGTCCTTCTTTTTGACGCATCGGACGCACATGTCTCGCGGAGGGGGTCAGCGAACTTGCGTGTGGGTGCGTTTGTACTATACGCGTGTCACGCTATATATTCGCGGAGCCACGCGCGTGTCTCGGAGGCACGCGCGCGTGTTTTGACGCGGCGTCGTCAATCAATTAGGGCGTGCCGGGTGCGCCGCACACCCCGACCACACCTCTCGGGCAATCACGATGTTTCGCGACGTGTCGAGAATCGCTAATAGCGTACACGCACGGCTGCATGCTATACACCGACGCGCCTACACCGCACATTCTGTCGTACACACTAGGAGCATCGTTCGAGGTCCTTGCAGCGGTATACAACATTTTAACCCCTTCCCACACGCATGCACACTACACGCTAACTGCTACGCTGGTTAGGCGAGTTATTATTATTATGATTGTTTTCTCTCAATAACGAATCGGAGCGAATCGTAGTACGGACAGGCGGCGCGGTAAATGTGTACATTGGTGGAAAAGGTATACGATGACGGTTTCGGGTAGAACGTGCATGTAGCGATGTATAGCGCGCGATGCTCGAGATGTTCGAGCGTTCTTCGGGTGGACATAGAAGTTTAGATATGCTCAGCTTGAACCAATGCGCTTGGTGCGTGAGTAGCACAGCAAGGTATGGCAAGCCAACGTTGTGCTGCAGTGTTTCAGCATCAATGTCCAACATCACTATTCTCCGCTGCAATTATAAGAAAGCTGATTGGGTATTTATTTATTTATTTATTTATTTATTTATTTATTTATTTATTTATTTATTTATTTATTTATTTATTTATTTATTTATTTATTTATTTATTTATTTGGTGGCTTCAGTGAGGTCGGTGGTTCTGTCCTCCATGATACACAAAAGCGTCTTACGCCCGAATTAGAGAACATTTCGACCCATCGCTTATGCTGCTTGAACAACCAGCGAGGCCGGCGGACAATTGGAAAAGTGCATTTAAAGAAAAGAAAAATTACTTCACTGAATTTTGGCCCAAATGTTCGCAGCGGACCTCTACCCACCCACTATACACAGACATAAAAATGAAAAACATTACTGGAGGTCCTCTCAATTCCGCCTCTTCTTGTTATAGAATATATAAGAACACTCGACGAGAAAACGGGCAGTCGCAGAGCACTGCACCTTAACTGCTGCGCGATAATGAAAGTCGCCCTTAATTAGCTGATGGGCAAGAATATTGAGCGGCGTACTTTCTGCCACGCACTCGCAAGTGACTACCACTTGCTGCGCCCTCTGTGCAGCTTCTGCACGGTATTACAGCGCGGGCAGTGCTCGTCTCGCCTCCCATGGCGGGCTGTCGACGTCGCTGTGTGCGGTGCTTTTGCGTCTCACCGCCGCGGTCCACTTAGTGGTTGTGCAAAGTGAATGTTGTTATGCCTAATCGTTCACTTAGCCTCCTACCGCGAGCTGGTGCACTGGGCGGGCGATGCTCTCCGCCATTCGTTTAGTTATGGGACCTCCTATTGGATGCGCTCCTATTTCACTGGGGAACGCCGCGCAGTGTGATGCATTTGGGTGTGCCGAACGGGTGGCTAACCACCTAGGCGGCTTATTTAGATCTCCACAATGCTGTTTGTTTTTGTTCATTTTTTTTACGTTTAATTGGGCTTGTTCATTCATGAGGTGCAGCGCCGATTCTCTTATATGAGTTGGAGTTGAGCGAAAGAGAAAGAATAGACATGAAGGTTAATCAGGAGAACTCTCCTATTTGCTGCCCTGTGCTTGGGAAATGGAGAGGATGAAAGAAAGAGGAGTCTGACGACTTTAGGCGACAAAACAAGATTACGACTATAGCAATGTTTCAGTCATGTACACCAGCATTCAGTGGCGTAGCCCGGGATTGCAAACCAGGCCCTTGCCACCCCCATCATTTCTGTCAAGTGTGTGCTCAGTAGCCTGAATAGCTTAACACTTCATGTGCAGTCGCGGCAACTACTTTCTTTCAGTGGCAATGATATCGGTGTCATCCCAGTTGATGTCGTGTCTAGTAGACACCACATGCTCTGCAAGGGCATTAGATGCCGCTTTCTTGTTCCTGACGTCATTGAAACATTCCCGGAGCCTTGTTTTGAAATTCCCTGTCTCACCAATATGTGCATGCTCGCAGTCTTCGCAAAACGTTTTGTAAGCTACACCGGGAAAGCCGTGTATGTCCAGCTTATCTTCGACATATGTGAGAAAGGCCTTCGAGGTTGCGTGCAGGGAAGTTTATGTGTTACTGCAATCAGGTGCGTAGCCAGAAATTTTTCGGGGAGGGGGGGGGGGGGACCTCCTTCATTTTGGGAGGGTCACCCCCTTGATACAGTCGTTTCTGGCTCTCTATGCCATGTCGAAAGATAAGTTTGGGGAGGGGAGGGGCACGGGCCCTTTGTGTCCCCCTGGCTACTCCCCTGATTGCAATATATGTTTGTCCCTGACCAGACGGGATTTCACCAGACTCTTGACTGCATTGCATCATCTGATGATGATACGCGAATCTCATTTTGTAATATCACCGTCATCGTCATCATCATCATCATCATCATCATCATCATCGTTATCAATGTAGGATGAAGAAAGCTTGGCTAACTTGAATTTATTTTGTCCTATACTCATGCCGCTGAACTTGCCGATTTAATCGCATCCTCCCAAATAATTATATCTTAATTTTGACTGCTCCTCTCCTCAGTGCCCGTCTGTGGTCATTACAAGATCACCGGTTATCTGACGTGCGCATTGCGCCTTGTTTGATAGCGTCATCATCGTCATTCTGACCACGCCCACTGCAGGACAAAGGCCTCCCTCATGTCCTGTGCTTGCAGCGGCCACTTTATGCCTGCAAACTTCCTAATATCATCTGCCAGCCTAACTTTCTGTCTGTTGATGGCGTACGCCATAATAATCTCAACTGCGGTCGAGTGCGTCGGCACACCCTCCGTCAGTTTCACGTGACATGCACATTACCAGCAACATTTCGATGTCATGCCACGTGGTGTAGATTTATGTGTGTTATTGCATATCTCTTTGCGCCCTTCGTGCGTTTTCAAATAAACGCGCTACGAGACTGCTCTTGCCCGGTTCAGTATCTTTATTTCGTGTTCGTTCTCGTGCGAGATGTGTGCGGGCTGTAATGCCGTAATATAGAACTTCGTAATATAGAACTTCGTAAGCCTTAATCGGAGCTCTTGCGTGTGCAGTGATCGGATCGTCGACAGCGGGCCTCGCGGGCCCTCAGCTGCGCCGCCATGCAGCATCCCCAGCACCCGCACGGTCTCGTGGACGGATACGCGGCCGCGCTGCCCATGGACCTGCACGTGCCGCATCACCAGGGATACCATCCCTACTTCCGGTAAGTCTGTATACTCACTCGTCAATCGGCAACGACCGATGCGTGATGGCACCGACAGGTCGACTGATGCTATCGGGTTTATGCATCTTTACTGAAACGTTTCGCATGCGATGTCCAATAATTCCGTATGTTTCCGTAAGAATCTTACGGAAATAGATGGAAAATATATAGGAAACATATGTATATTTATGGAAACATATGGAATTATTGGACTCGCATACGGAACGTTTCAGTAGGGATATCCTCGCAATGCTTCAACCGAACGACAGTCCGTGCTGTATACTGTCCCATTTCTTCTGTACCGTATACTCTACAGTGCGGCGGAATAAAGTTCTTGCTACACAACACTTAAATAGCGCGACTGAAAGACCTATAGCAGCGAGCGACTGAGTCAAAGTAGTCACATTGCGACCATTTGCGACGAGGCGCTTAAGTTGGCGGCTAACTTGGTCGCGCGGCCGCTGCTACTTCGAATTGTTAACGAGCCTTTATCGGAGTAGACGTGGCAAAAGTAGTCCACATATCGAACGATGAGAAGACACGCGATTGAAAGTCGCAGCTATATATACAATTCGTTTATTTTTGAAAACTACTGCTGTTAATAATAATAATAATAATAATAATAATAATAATAATAATAATAATAATAATAATAATAATAATAATAGGCGTCGCAAAGATGCGGCCCGTGAACTTTTCGCTGGCGGCTCGGGGCTTCACAGAAATAAACCTTTGTGACTTTGCTGAGTGGTATTTGCAATATTTTCTTTTCTATTGCGATCAATAATGCTTTCTTAGGATGAGCTACACAGACGGAACTGGTCTCAAGAATGCTTTTTTTGTTGTTTTTTTTAGGCGCCCCGTGCGACCACCATGTGTGGGAACACCACTGATGTTCAGCAGTTCGGTGTTTATAGGTTTCCGTAAACGTATACGGGAAAGCCCCTGTAGATGTGATCCACATTATGAAATATGGGAAATCGATTCTCTGAAACGGCAAAGCTGGGTGACATATTGTTCAACCACAAGTTCTATACGGCATTAGAAGTTCCGGCGATAAAACTATTCAGTCGAAGCATTCTATTATTATCTTTGAAATTAGAATTTTACTATTGCCCTACAAGTCTGAGAATTAAATCTTCAGTCAAACATAAATGGTGCACACTCTCGTATAAAAATAAGTATTTCATGGCCTGGCGCTCACAACAAATCGAAATAAACACAGAAAAAAAAAAATGAAATGCGTGAATGTCCGAACCAGTGAGTGGTTCTCCTAAACTTTTTCGCATACTTTCGCCGAAGAAAGTTGGGAAAAAGTTGAAACTCCCCACAGCCGTGTATACTGCTTTCGCTTGTGTAGTCTTTGCGCAACATAAAATGCAGTTTTTTTTTTCATCGTATGGGAAACACTGATTGTTTTTCCACGTGGACAATCGTATTATGCAGGCGTCAACGTGAGAGCGCTCCTCCGTTCCTCGTGTTTTTTGCTCTTTCTAATGAACGTAAGAGGAAAAAAAAAAAACACCTAATTACAGGAAAACATTTCAATGCTGCCTTGAGCCTTCCACCTCAAACTGCGGTTACATCTGCGTAGTTTAACATTAGACGTGTGTGCGACCGCTTGTACATTGCTTTGCGCCATTCTCGAAGTATACCTGTTCACTGCTTTTCGACACCGTCAGTTGAAAAAAAAAGAAGGGAAAGAGAGAAAGAAGGAAAGATAGAAGAAAAGAGAGAGAATAGAAAACAGAAAGATGATATAAAGAAGGAATAAAATAGACAAAAAACAAATATGAAAATAAAATAAGAGAGAAGGACGAGGAAAGGAGGGAAAGAAGGGAGGAGAGACGCGAACGGTGCATTGTGTATAACGGTTCCTATAGCCTGGGCAACGGTGTCCCACGTCGCCTTGGCATGCACGTCAATGTGGAGACGAAAAAGACGGCCACCGTACACGCCACGGACAAGTAGATTCATCAGGAAAAGTGCGTTTATGGTATAGCGACGGGGCTGCCTCGGAGCGTGGGGCGCGAATACTGATGGCGCCGCTTGTTGAGGACGGCAGCCTCACGTGGCTCCTTGCGTGAAGGAGAGCCAGCAACGAAAGAAAAGAAAAAAAAGGCGAAGCTGCCTGTTTTTGTTCCAGCATACTATTCCCGCTGCTTATACGCCGCTGAATGAGCAGCACTGCTTATTCAGGTGGTCCTGTGAATGTGTGCAAAGCTTCCACTTGAAGTGAGCATGCGCGATCGTCGCTTCTGATAGGCCGCTTTGTGCAAGCCTGCGCTGAGCATACCAATTTACCTTCTCTCGGAGCGTAAAAAGGAACTCGCAGTATATTTTTTTTTCCTGTTCAGCCGCCCACTGTAAATCCGCTCTGCACACACCGGTAAAGCACGTAGTTGAAAGTCTTTCGTACTTTATCAATATTTTTTTTTCTCACAGCCACGCCTGCACTGCCTGGCGCGGAGAATTGAAAGTCGCGATGCGTGGACAATTGTGAAACTTTTAAGACTAGACAGCTTTTCCTTCTTTCTTTTCTTTTCTTCTTTCCTGTATTAAATTGCACCGCGAAATGTGTCATAATGTGCTGACATCTGCGCTGTTCCGATGAAGGCCTCAGCAATTTCACTCCATCACAGCTGCAGACTTTGCTGTATACGTTACGGAGCGCACACACACTCAAGCCGTCGTTTAATCTGAGATTGAGCTCACGCAGCTACTTGTATACTATACAGGCTGACATCACGTGATCGTAGCAGCGACAGGGCGTGGGACATAGTCGCTGTTCCCACGTGAGAAACGACCGAGACGTCCGCCCTCCCCACGCCGTATACCTTTAGCAATGCTGCATGCGGGGTATTGTAGCGAGGCTTGATAGCCGGAAAGAGAAAGGGGTGATGACAGCGGTATGCTGTCTCCTTTACTTGTTCAATGCATCAATTATGTCATTTCAATGCAGTGCTAGAACACTCGAGAATTTTGGAGGTCATGAGAAAAAAAAAACGGTGCTCTAATATGAGAACGAACCAAACTAGGCATCAAAAGAAAGACAGAAAGAATGAAAAAAAAAGACAAAAGGAAAAATGATTCACTTTTTTAGCCACGTAACCTTCCCAACCCACCTGACATCGGTGGAGTTTAGGTCACTGTGTTCACAGCTCTTTCGCGTTTGGCGTCTTTTACATAATTTTCAGCGTGTCGACGAAAGTATAACACCACTCGTCAGCCTTTATTTAAAACATGTATGAAAAATCACCTAGCAGTGATCCCGTGATATAAGTATGTAGTTTTCGAAATGGTTAGGTAACTTCACACTTTTTCAGCTGGCGTAGTGTAGAAACGTATCGTTCCTGCTACTACTAAGTGGTTCTAAGAGAGAAAGGAAGAGAAAAGTGAGCCCCGTAACAGTCTGCATCACGGTGCGACACCTCAACAGTAGCTCACAAGGGATGGGGGGTGAAGAGGGATTAAAAGGACAGGAATAAAGGTGTAGAGAGAGAGAAAGAGGCGTGAGGTAGTAAGCCTGAGAGCGACGACATATCGAGGGAATAGGAGAGATAGGAAAGATGGAAACACGGTCACAGGAGTCCGAGGACGGGGCACCACTTGCGAGAGCTCTTGTCGGCGTCAGGAGATGGCGTAGGGCAAGTCCAGTCGGTCATAGCTACACTGTCGTCGGAGGTCGGCGTCAGGAGATGACGTAGGGCGAGCCCAGTCGGCCAGAGCTACGTTGACGTCGGAGATCGCGAGGGCACAACCGGTCGGCACGGAATCCAGCGAGCGAGTCCCCTTCCTGCTGTCACAGCCCTTGCTGCTCGTATACATCATGGAGTGTTGGAGCTTGAAGTGCTGGATACAGCCAGGAAACCGGATGCGTTTTGCGTCTGGTATCACCAATATCGCTGGCATTTAACCAGGGACCTGATCAAGAGTGTAGTCCTTTATACTTATCACGTTGTGCTCGTGATCTTGAGGTTGTGGGCTCAAAATTGAATTTACTTGACGATGTGATTATGATCGCGCCGTAGAGGAGAAGTGCGAGTCTTTGTACAAGTTGGTTGTTTATGTCGATATATTTGCAGCACCCAAAAATAAAGTGTGAACAGGGGAGAAGACACGATAGGCAAAGCAGTGGCTAAAAACTGAAAATTATTGAAAGAAAACTACAGACTGTGAAGGACACGTGACAAAAAAAAGTCGATGAAAAATGTCAAGAGTGTAGTCCTTTATAGTTATCACGTTGTGCTCGTGATCTTGAGGTTGTGGGCTCAAAATTGAATTTACTTGACGATGTTATTATGATCGCGCCGTAGAGGAGAAGTGCGAGTCTTTGTACAAGTTGGTTGTTTATGTACGGTGTGCATCATCTGTGACAGTGACACAAGTTCTGTTTCTCCTTTTTTTTTAGTCAGGACCACAGATGCCACATTTTCCCATTGTCAACTTAACCACGCAATCTTATTGGCTTCTACTGCTTCTCTAGTTAGCGGAGAGCCGCTCTGGTGTAATTCTGACTATCTATGGAACGTGCGCCTAATTCTAAGTGATCTGGCGTTATTGCACTTGGCCCTCTTCGAAATTCGGCCGCCTGACTGGAAATTGAACCCACGAACTTCTGTCGACGAAGCACCGCGCCATCATCCTAATATTGCTGAAGTTAGGTGTGGCTTCCGTTCTTTTTTTTTGACGTTTATTTTTCATATTTCTCACCCTGTTCATTTAAAGATGAGTTTATAATAACTCCTTCTTTATCTTCTCTAATTTTGGCGTTTTGTTTTGCTGCTTATCGCTGTTCTTTTCCGTATACACGTCGTATTTGTGTTTATCTGCGATGTGCTTCGCTGCTTGTTTTCTCTACCGCTGCTTTATGTTTCAATTATTTTTTCTACATTGACAACTGTAGGAGGTCCCGAGTTAGTCCTAAAGTAGTGGACCTCCCCCTCTATACACAAGTTTTGCTATTCATCTAATACATATACACAACCACTTCTGACGTG